TTAGAATATAACAAAATGCTACTGCACAATTTAACTGTTATTGTTATCTGTTTTAATAATACATTTAAAATGGAATCATGTTATGATAATTAAACAAGTGAATTTTTAGCTGATTTACCATGAACTGTTTGTAGCATAACAATACGCTACTCCACATTTTAACTGTTCTTAAAAATACGTTTAAAAAAGAATTTAAATAAATAAAAGAAAGTATACGAGGGATGATCCAAAAGTAATGATAATGAAAATAAATCACGGTAATTAAAGTTAAAATAATAATTTATTTTTCTACATAGTCTCCTAACAAATCAATACATTTAGTCCATTTTTTTCTAAACCCAGGATTCCCTTTGAAACAAATTCTTTGTCTTGACCCTCCGAAAACGCTTCAACAGCGGCCATTACTTCGCTATCGTCTTCGAATTTCTTGCCTTGGAGGCGTTGCTTGAGCCGAGGAAAGAGGTAGAAGTCACTAGGAGCTAGATCTGGCGAATAGGGAGGGTGTTCGAGCAGTTCGAATCTCGTTTTTTGAATGGCAGCCATCGCAACTGCGCCTTTATGAGCCGGTGCGTTGTCTTGGTGAAACAGCACTCCAGCTCGCAGTTTGCCGCGTCTTTTTTTCTTAATGGCCTCCCGTAATCTTCTTATTTGGTCTGCGTAGTAAGAGCCCGTAATAGTGGCTCCCTTTTCCAAATATTCCACCATTATTATGCCTTGAGCGTCCCAAAAACAGATGCTATAACCTTTCCCGCCGAACTTGAAACTTTGAATTTCTTTGGCGTCGGTGAGGAGGCTCGCTTCCAAGTCATCGATTGTTGTTTCGTTTCAGGATCTAAATGGTGGATCCAGGTCTCGTCCATAGTCACAAAACGGAGCAAAAATTTTCTTGATCTGCTTGGAACTTTTCGAGATTGACCCTCGAAAAGTCAACTCGATTTTTCTTTTGCTCGTCGGGTAACATTCTGGGTACCCAACGCGCAGAGACCTTTTTTATATGCAACTCGTTCGCAAGGATTCTTTGAACGCTGCCATATGAGATACCTGTGACCTCAGCTACATGCCTGATGGTCACTCTTCGATCTGCCAACACAACATCTTCGACTTTTTTCACGTTGTCTTCAGTGACGGATGTGGATGGGCGTCCTTCACGATGTTCATCTTCAGTGGATGTTCTGCCCAGTTTAAACTCCTTGGCCCAGCGTGCAACTGTAGAATATGGAGGAGCAGAGTCCCCCAATGTTTCCACTAAGTCACTGTGTATGTCTTTTGAAGACATTTTTTTCAAACAAAGGTACTTGATGACAGCTCTAATTTCGTTTTTCTCCATGTTGATGTTATCTCTTTGACAGTTCGTATTCAAATGAATGTATCTGTATAATATCTGACATAGTGAGTATATAAGCAAGCAAAAAATATATTTTTTTGTATTTTTATGCGGACCTGAAGTAACTGATTATCATCACTTTTGGATCACCCCTCGTATTTTAAAAAGCGTGTAGAACTTAAAGCGCCTCAATTTTTTTTTATTAAATTACTAATCGAATAAAAATCGATATCGTTTCATTGTATTTATGTTAGTTATGTGTCAAATCTGACAGCTAGGAAATCTCTCATGCGAATTGCGAATGAAATCACAATTCAACAAGTAAATAGGTACTAGAGAATTCACAACTAAATAGTGGCAATTGTGTTATTTTGTTTGTTATTTTTCAAATAAATTCTCAAGAACTCATATGGAGTGAGATTGCCGATCACATTGTAGTGTGACAACAGTTAAAAGTAAGTGTTCAACAGTTTTTAATTTATTAAGTCTAGTGCTGATATTTGATAGTGATGAATGAATGAAATGATGAAGTTGTTTTATTTTTTAACATATGCACAAGTTATATCTGACAAACATAATAGCTTATTTATAACATAGCGATAAGATTACCTAGCTAACACCAGATATGTAGTTACTTGACAATTTTTAGAAGATTGACAAGAAGAAGAAGATTGACAAGAAATTAGACAGTCAATTTTTAATTGTTTTTGGACTACTGGTAGTCAGTCAGTCCTTAATTATTAAATAATATAGGGCATTAAGTTTTGTGTAACATTTACCTCTATTTGAGTTTAAAGTAAACAAATCTATTTTATTTTGTTCACTTTGTCTTATTTTTTTATTTAATATTATTTCAGTTGCCATCGTCATCGCGTAAGTGTCATGATTGCTGGCGAAGGACCTATAAAGCAGCATCACGTTAAACTTTAGAACGGGAACCATCTGAATCATCTAGTCCGTCCTCGTTGCAATCTAAAGTGAGTAATATATTGAACCTAGAACAACAAAGCTTAGATCATACATCGTACAATATACTGCTGCCTAATTTTGTAAGAGCACCACTCACACAAAATCAATGTTTTTTCCTGGTTGTAACAATTCCAATCAACTCACTGTTCCATCAGCTTTGCGGGTATGTCTTTTTGCAAATACAATTACTATGTACCTCCAGAATGTAGAATAAGTAACTACCATTTAAATAGTAACTCTTGGGATTTACTTTTAGAATCTATGTAACCATATTGAAACATTTAGTGTAGCACAAATCATAGATTTTTCTACATTATTGTAAGATAATATATACCATCATATAGACTTTGAAAATATTCACAGTATGCCTAAACATACTGTACATTATTATCTAGGCTTATCAAAGGCACAATACCAACAAATTCTGTCTGAAGTTCCGAGAATGTCAAGTAAACATAGTGGATGTTTTGCACTTGCTGTATATTTGATGAAAGTAAGAACCAGTAGAGTGATGAATGCATATACGCGTAAGCATTATTGCAAGTGCCAAGAAACAAATTAGAGCGGCTCATGAATATGGCCCGCGAAATATTAAATCAATATGTTGTTCCTATGAATTTTATCCATCGTTACCACTCTCTGTGCCAAATTCCATTCAGTAATTATGATATTATATTAGAGGCAAATAATTTCTTAGCTTTCCTAGATGTTTTTGTTATCCAAAATCCTAACAACATCATAGGTCACACTGTGTATAGAAAAAAGACCCATAGAAACTTATATTTAAACGGTGAATCTCACCATTATCCTTCACAGTTAGTTACCGTGAGCAAATCTTTGTTACAGAGAGCATATGGGATCTGTGACAGCAAGCTTCAGCAAGTCAAGCAGGTTCTGTACAAAATCAAGCTTCGGGTCCCGCATCTACGTCACAGTGACCGAGTGAAGCCGACCGCAGTTGAGCGTGTGCCTGCAGTACTACCTTTGTCAAGGGTGTCACGGACAAGATTGGCTACATCTTAAGCGAGCTTTTATTAGAACATTCTATAAGCCGCCGAAGAATATTAGTTAGTTTTCAAAAACCATCAAGTGTCATATTCCTATACAAGATATAGGAGTGTACAAGCTTAATTGTGAAAGATGTCTCTCATATATAGGGCAAACAAAAAGATCAATTATAACTCGCCTTAAAGAACATACAGCTGATGTTAAGCATTAAAGTTCCGGAAAGTCTGCAGTTTGTGATCATATCCTAGACGACCCCAACCAGATAGACATACATCAGATTTGATAGACCGCAAATGACCGCGAAAGAACCTTAATTCCTCCCAAGGATGATATGTGATATGTGAAATTAAAAAACATCCTAATTTCAATAGAGAAGGTGGCTGGGTACTACCACCTGCTTGGGACACTATAATTAATAAAATTAAAACTAAACCCGAGCATACCACTGCAAGACTTAAAGATAGAGTAAGTTCAATCTGCGTAGATTGGACTATAAAAATAATAATAAAAAGCTGAAGGTATTTCATGTTAATACTGACATTAGGATGGTAGTCACCTCAGTCCCCCTTGACCATGGGTGCTATAAAACACGTGAAACGTCGGGAATTAAAAGTTAAAGAAATTAAAAGCAATAAAATTGGTAAAAGTAGTCGTCAAAAAACTGTATTTGTGAGAATAAAAACTTTTATATCATAAAAATCCCGACTTTTTTTAAAACCAATTCCTTAACCATTTCATTTTTTTAATTGCATATTATCATTTCCATATGCTTTTGTATGTGGGCACCCATGGCCGAAGTGTCTATGAACAGTGGGCATTCCCCTTTGTGCTTTGTTTGAAGAGGAGGAAGAAAGAAGTTTGTCTTTATTTTTATATAAAGAGGGATAATTGCGCATCAATTATATTAAATTATCTTCAAACAAATCCATTACCCGCTCCCCACTTCACCGCGCTTGCCCTTCGCAGCTGATGCATGCTGTGGCGGAACAAGAGATCATTATACACGTTCTTCATACGATTATGTGTCTCGCACCGCATGCTGTATACCGCAGCGTTATGCGTTACGATGCAGATACCAAAGCTATGTAGTATTAGAGACAGACACTTCAATTTTATTTATAGGTAGCCATATACATATAGTACTACAACTGGAGGTCTAGAACTGAATGAAATAGTAATGTAGCAAATGTTTCGGTATTTCTATTCTTTTTTTTTTGTTGAGTTTTCTTTAAATACTATTTTTCACGACATAGGGGCGTGAAAATTATCTTTATGGAGGGTTGCCAATATAATAAATTTATCGAAATTACAACATAAGAGTTATTTTTCGTTTTAAATAAATAAAAAGTCAACTATTTCATCGCTTTCATAAATTTTTAATTATTTATACCAAATAACACGATTTTCCTAATTACTGGCATACTTTGGCCAATTATCTGCATGGGCCTAGTCCATTTATTGGCATTTCGGATTAATCAGTAAATAAAGGAAAATTGTCTATAGAGGACAAGGATAAAGTAACAAAGCCTATCTTATAATCACTTTTATTTATGCAGCTACCTACTTAGACACATAAAAATGAAAACAAAAGAATCAATGCAACCTCTTTATCAATCATTTAGTTCATACATTATCAAATCAATATTCAGTAAACTTTTAGAAAAAGAAAAAATCTATTATCACTTATATCTATTATAACTTAAACGTCATAGGTATCAAATTCAGTCAAAAACTTGTTTTGTTTAATATCCTTATTTTTAGGAATTAGACTCGCATAGTCGATGCAATTTTCCTTATCCTCTTGTTTTTCAATCGGTGTATAGTCGACATTTGCAGGTGGTACCAACGAGATATCTGCGGTATCCAACTTTTCTGGTGGCACAATTTTCTTCACATCTGCATTTACTCTTTCGTGTTCCTTCTTAATCTTCAACTTAGCTACTGGTACTTTTTGTTTTGTCTGCTTAGTTTGTGCATCTAAATTCTTTTTTCTCTTTCTTCTTTTCTTCTTTTTATGTCTTCTTCTTTTTCCCGTTTTACGCGTAGTTTTTCGCTTTCTATAGATCTCCATTTATCAGAAGTCAATACAAAAGGCGGTCTCTTAATGTTTCTAACGCCTTTTCGTTGAGGTGATTTTGGCAATACAGGGACATCCGTTAATTTACTTAATGGGAGTAAGGTTTAACATGGCAGTAGGATGTTTTTGAATCTTTACAGGTGCTGGATCAATATAAGTTTCTATTTTGTCAAACAAGGAACTTTGTTGTTTTCATGGGGTGTTTAATTTGTTGGGACAGAACTGAAATTCTCGTATTTTTAGTCTTAGCAGCATACACTTCTGCTTTATGAGTTACATGTAAAACTTCTTGTGAATTGTCCGATAAACGATCGTCATTGCCATCATTGAAGTCTTCTGCTGTTACAATAACTTCCGAGGCATGTGCAGGTACGCAATCAGAGAGCTCTTCCCTCAAGTCTTCTCTTAAAATAACTGGCATGTTTTCAATATCTATTGCATCTAATTTCATATCCGCATCTTGTTGACTGGAAGTATTGTCTTTGTTTAAATTTGTACTATCCTTTTGCACTTCCGTGAAAAAGTTCCAAATTTTTTGCAAATAGTTTTCTTCTGGTATAAGTACACCTAGTTCAATTTGACTCATATTGCTTGCTCCTATAATATTGCTAAAGTCTTCTTTAGTCATCGCTTTTGGTTCTTCATAATTCGTTTTATTAAAAGATTCTGCTTGAAGAATATTTGCCTTCCCAAGACATTTTGTATAGTCCACGACGTTCATATTCCATGGGCAAAAACCTGTAGCTCTAAATCCATTAACAACTGTTGATGCCAAGATCATGTTATTGATAGTTTTGTCTAGAAGCGGTACGAAATTGTTCTTAGTGAGAGCTAGAGATGGATTAATTTCGCCTCCACTCCAAAACAGTATTCTGCCAACCAGATTTCAATGGCTTGAATGCTGACAAATCAGCTGGCTGTAGTAATCTGGTACAGTTGGGGTATAATGCAATCAGGACAATTTCCAATTTCTTGCATAGCTCACTAACAGCAAATGTTAAGTGGGTCCTGTGACCGTCGATAAACAATATTATGGGGAATCTAGTGCCTTTTTTGATCAAGTGAGAGTGTAATACACTCTCTATGTAATCGTGAAAGACTTCGGCTTTCATTCACCCGTTGTCGCTAAGCCCTATACCCCAATTTGACGGAACCTTGGACGTAATGTCAGCTGATAAACGCTTATTCGGAAATATAACCATTGGTGGTGTGAGATCTCCGTCAGCATAAAATGTGAACATTACAGTTAAGGAAGTTTTGACGAGCGCGTTATCTACCTCATACACATTTTTTTCGCCTTTAGGGGCCAATACAACTCCCGTTTTGGGGCATAGAAGAAATTTGGTCTCATCGCGATTAAATGTTCGGGAGGAATCTGCGAGTATATCAAATAAATCGTTTTCTTTAAGATAATTTTCAATTTGACTGAACCAGCCTCTCACATCATTTTCTGATACAGCAGCACTGGCTGCTGAGATTGCCTCAGATGTGCGTACAGAAATTTTTGGGTGTTGTTGAAGAAATAATTTATACCACTTTTCGCCGTTCTTAAAAACGCTGGCCCTGTTACTATTTTTCAGAAAGTTCGATACACTGCTGATTAAATCATCTTTGCGTTTTGGAAAACCTTTTCTACAACTAAGTAAAATCCAATCTACGCGATCTTTTTCTTCCTTTTCCGTCAGAATAGTAGGAAGGCCTGGACGCGACTGGTGTTCAGGATTCTTAATCCTATATTGCAAAGTAGCCCGCGACACTTGATAGGTCTTTGCTGCCAATTTCTTACTCATTCCTTTGACAGCTTGTAGGGCCTTATTTAAGTTTTCCGAGTTGTATTTCTTACGCCGGCGTATATCTTTGGTTGTTTTTCTAGAGCTCTTAGTTTTATTTTTTGGTTTCATGTTTAGATAAATCGGTAGTCTGAAAATAAAATTGTAGGCTAGATGACACCAATTATTACCATACTTGTGCCTAATTATTGGCCTTAGTGTCAATAATTAGTAATTTCGCGGTTGACACGGGGCTAAGATTTGGAACCATTGTATTTTTTACTTTTATATAACAATCATACAAAAAATTGTGGTTTACTAATATATAAATGCACAAAATAAATACCTAAAAAAAAAAACTCTAAAAAACCAATTATTGTCATCAGTGCCAATAAATTAGATTATAGACATTTTTGGATACCAAATGTTGGCACTGGGATGAAATATTAAAAACAATGCAATTCTAGGAAATATAAAAGGTCAAATAGGTTATAGGTGGAATAATACGTACTGAATTTGCTTTAAATCATAACATGCATAATAAATACTTGATCACTAAGATTCAATGATATTAAGAAAGCTCTTACCTTAGCAAAAAAATAATTTTCACCGATCAAGCCGAGACACGTTCACCTGTTGTCAGTTTCGGCGCCATTGTCATTTCTTTTTTTTCATGTGTTGCCAGTTTAGTAGCTCAGAATTCTACTACTCTATTTAAATAAGTTGCAACACCGTGAGATTAGGTGGATTATTATTCAATAAGTTTAAACACAGAAGTGCCAATAATTAGTGTGGTGCCAAAATTAGGTCAGTCTACCCTAATATAGCATTGTGTAAAATTTATATTATACAATTCAACGCTAATTGAAATCCATTAGGATTTCAATATTAAAAATAATATATATATATATATATATATATATATATATATATATATATATATATATATATATTCTATTATATATATTCAATATTAAAAGTTGCTAAGTTGAGTTTGAGTCGCAGAAGCAACTAAATATATTTCCCATTTTACAGCTAGAGGCAGCGCATGAAGATCCTGAATTCAAGAAACTAGCTGAAGAATCTTTTGAAGGTTATATTAGAGCTTTTGAAGTAAAGAAGTTGAAACATATTTTCAATTTGCTAACAATGGATATGGATGCCGTGGCAAAATCATTTGGTTTAAAAGGAAAACCTGATGTTGACATACGTAAGTAGTTACAAAAACAATCAAAGAATAACTATAATGTCCTCCTGGTCCACCAACTCTGCTACCACCATGACAGTATCCGAATGGATATTGAACATGAATATCTCTCAAATTCGCTAGAGATGTAGGAGAAATATCCGCGAAGCATGTAATAAGATAATCTATCGCAGACTGCGCGGTCGTCGTCAATAAATCGAATAAAATGTTATGAACTGTTGGATACGATTGTGGCGGTGCTGTCGTCGCGTCGCAAGCTAAACACACCGAAGCCTAAATCGCGCTATCAAAATTCCGAATCATAAACAGTATATATAGAACAGCTCCGAACTATCACACGGAGTGTTGGCCGCTCCCCGGGCAGAACACTTTCCCGGCGGGAGATCTCCCCTTTTCCTTCCACACCCACACGATAATATAAGTAGCTGCACATCCGTCTCAACATTTATGCTGCAAGGGAATACGGCGCTGATATTTTGCTAGTGGCCTATTTAAAACTGACGCGCAGTCGTCAAACATAAGTTTTGTCTACGGAACATATAAATAGGGAACACTAAAAATTTAAAAAATAAAATAATACTAACAACTTCTTCATTAGTCCCTTTTACACGACACGTTCTTTCACTTGCGATCGGAGTGTGCGCGATTAAACGCAGGAAAAATTGCACGTGCAATTGTGAGAAATTGTTTTTACCCATTTTTAAATGCGTTGACTCTTCCGTTCGCTATTACTACTGTATTTTTATTCAGAGAGGAAAGAGAGTCGTGTAAAGGCTAATCGCGCGTGATTTAGTACAGGAAACTTCCGTGACCTGGAGTGTATGAAAATCACGCAGTTTTGTTAAACGTGCGTTCTGAAGATTAGTGTAATAAACAAATGGGTTAGAAGGAATATTACACAAGCAGTTATGTTTGCTAGTTTAAGCGTATAATAGATTATTTATATATTATGAAATAAAATCAAACATAACAGCCTGGCCACGGGACATTCGCCGTAGTGAAAATTCGCGCGGCGCGAACGGCGAGGCGTCTAGCGACTAAAACAAATGTATAGAAATGTATGGATCAAGTCACGCGTAGCGGCGAGTGGCGACGCGACTGGCGAAATTTACAGAGCGAATCGCGCGGGCGACTGGCGGCGCGGCGGGTGACTGAAACAAATCTATGAATCAGTACGGTGCAAGCCACGGAGTCGGGCGGCAGACGCGGCGAAAACTGGCGAATAGTATAGGGAACAAAATATTTTAGTTGTTTTCGCCGCGAAAAATGCCGGGCCGACAAAAACAACTTAAATTCTATCCGCATTGACTTTTATCACCAATTCTGGTTGAATATTAACAAGAATATAATCTTTGAATAAAACTATTATTTACGGATTTTATCGCGTTTAATTCAACTTTAATTTATTTTTATTATCCCGACGTTTCGGGTGCTTTACAGCACCCGTGGTCGTAGGGGGGACTGAGATGTTTGACGTACCAATGTCATAGTTAGTCCGGCTATCTTCAGTTTTTGAATATTAATTTTTGGTCCGATTTACGCAAAACGAGCTTATAGTATCATGAAGTCTTGCAGTGGTATGCTTGGGTTTGGGTTTAATTTTGTTAATTATAGGATCCCAAGCAGATGGTAGCACCCAACCATTTTCTCTATTGAAATTTGGATGTTTTTTAATTTCAATAGCCTCGCGTATCATCCTTGGTAGGAATCGGTGTTCTTTTGCGAGAATTTGTGGTTTATCAAATCTAATGTAATGGTGGGGACGATCTTGAACATGTTCGCAGACTGCAGACTTCCCGGAGCGTCAGTGCTTCACATCAGCTATATGTTCCTTCACGCGGGTTTTTATAGATCTCTTTGTTTGACCTATGTAAGAGAGACCACATTCACAATCTAGCTTGTACACACCTGCATCTTGTAGAGGAATATTGCATTTGATGGATGGTAAAAATTGACTAATCTTCTTCGGCGGCTTGTAGTATGTTTTAATGGACGCTCGCTTCAAGATGTAGCCAATCTTGTCTGTGACTCCTCTAACATACGGTAGTACGTTAGAGGAGCGCGCGCTCGACTGTGGCCGGCTTCACTCGTTCACTGTGACGTAGGCGCGGGACCCAAAGCTTGTCGTCTTGCAATACTTGCTTGACATGCTGAAGCTCGGCGGCCAGATGTTTTCTGTCACAGATCCCTCGTGCTCTCTGAAACAAAGATTTACCCACGGTAGCTAACTTTGAAGGATGATGGTGAGATTCACCATTTAGATATCGGTTGGTATAGGTCTTTTTTCTATACACAGTGTGACCAATAGTGTTATCAGGATTTCGGATGACTAAAACATCTAGGAAGGCTAAAGAATTATTTGCCTCTAACTCCATTGTGAATTGTATTTTAGAGTTTATGGAGTTAAGGTGGTCTAAAAATGCAGTTACTTTGTCAGATGGTAAAATGTGAAAGTGTCGTCTACGTACCGCTTGTAGAACCTTGGATTTACAGGAGCAGTAAGAAGGGCTTTCTCCTCAAAGTCCTCAAAGTCTCAGAACGTATACTGACATGAAGCACCGACGCTCCGGGAAGTCTGCAGTCTGCGAACATGTTCAAGATCATCCCCACCATTACATTAGATTTGATAAACCACAACATCTTCGCAAGAAG